AATACGGAAGACTTTTAAAAGGATTGATACATCTGAATTATGGTGTTGACGAATAATAATGAAAGTATCATGGTCTGTCATAAGAACAAATACATTTGTCTTAGAAGCAGAGCCAGAAAGCTCCTTGAAGGGAAGAACGGCAAGGCTCCATGTCATGAACTTTGAACATGTCATCAGAAGGGATCAGTCCCTGAAGAAGGACATCATGCTTGATAAAGTACAAAGTCGGTGAAAAAGAGGAAGACCCCCAATAAGATGAACTGATACAGTAATCGCAACAATGGGTTCCAAACCTAACAATTGTGAGGCTGGTAGAGGACCAGGCTCTGTTCTGTTCTGTTCTGCTGTGTACAGGGTCACTGTGAGTTGAAGCTGACTCAACGGCACTTCACAGCAACAACATATCCCTGCATGTTACATTCCTGGCTAAACTAATTCCCAGAAATTTTTCTTTTACAACTTTAAGTAGCCCCAAGTACAGTTCTTATTTATTACAAATAAAAATAACAATAAATCCTAACATCCTTTGGTCTGGAAAGTTGTGGCTTAAAACCAAACAAAATAAAAAATCTCACCATAACCAAATAAAACTGTAACTTTATTTTCACAGCTGAAGACATTTTCAGCTAGAAGAGTTCAATCTCATCAGTCTAGAGGACAAACTGATTAGTTCAGTGTAGGCAATTTCCTTTAAGATAAGTAAAATAAGAAAACTGTCTAGCACCTCTATTTCCAAGACTTTGAGATTTGCAAAAGGATGGAGGAAGAGAAAGCAGGAAGCAAGGGAAAGGAGTGGGAAGAAGTATTTCAATACATTTTCAGAAGAACCACTGGTTAATCTAAGAAAGAAGATGAAGTATAAATAGGAGGGTGGGTACTGACACTCCTTATCCTTTTAAGAACTGTTTTAATTAAGTATTCAAATTTCGATGCCAGTTCTTTTTAGTGATATCAAGTAGAGAGAGGAGGAGCAGATTACATACATGTAGACACAGTGCCAATACCTGAAAGTAGAGGGACACAGAGGCCCATTTCTGTGCCTCCCACTGTGACCAGTCTAACTTGTATGCTGTCTTTCAAATCCAGCTCTCCATTCACTACCTCACAAAGACCCTATAAACATGCTTCTGCCTGGGGAATGATAATAAAAGAGGAAAAAAGAAGAAAAAGGTAAGACAGAGACAAAAACACAAGGCGCTATGGTAATAGTTCCATTCTCATATGAGTTTTCAAGAAAGATTTTATCTTAAATCTTGCTAAAATATACAGTATGATGAATAGAAAGTAAAGAAAAACTTGAGAGACCAGAAAGTTGCAATTTCCAATCTTCTTGACAAAACTGGACTGACTGCAGCTTAAATTGCCTGACACTCTTCATCAGAGTTCCACATCCTATTTCCATCTGATTCTTCCAAGGTAATCAGCAACTTAACATTTTTATTATGCAAGAACTAAGTTTCTTCCTGATAGCTTCAGTTTCCTTAGAGTAAGGGAAAAAACAGGATCTAAATCCCTAAAGAAGGTAAACAAATATGTGAGAATCTTAATTTATGTGTGTGCATATATTATTTCCACGGAGCTTTGGTGACACAATGGTTGTTTGGCTGCTAACCAAAAGTTCAGCTAACCCACCAGTCAGCTCAGCAGAAAAAAGACCAAGAGATCAGCATCTGCCAAGATTTCCACCAAAGAAACTATGTCCTCAAAGGTCACGTGAGTTGGAAATTCCTTGATGACACATGGTAAAGCTTCACATCATTACTGGGTTACTGAAATGATTTCTGCCAACTCCTCATAATTCAAAGACGATCAAAATAACTAAGAACCTACTTTACAATAAAATGAAGTCATGCAAACTATGCATATCCATATAATGATGAAGAAACTGGAAACTCTTTTTCTGCACTGACAGTCTATACGAGAGTTGCTAAAGAAGTCAATTCGTTTCTAACACAGGATGCTCTTTCATAAAATTTCATAAAAACACACACATACGCATATGTTTCTTTAAACATGATTTCTCGGAAAAGATTTTGACTAGGATAGGCTATACATTCATCTGTAAATTGCTTTCACCTGAGCACACAAACAATTATAACAATTTCAAAATCAGCAATTACTTTTACATTAAAACATTCAACGATATTATTGAGTATAACCAATAAGGCAGCAGCCATCGAGTTGGCTTTGACTCATGGTGTATCAGAGTACACCATAAGTGTATCAGAGTACAACTGGACTCCACAGGATTTTCAAGGGCTAAGTTTTCTGAGGTAGACTGCCAGATCTTTCTTCTGTTGAGTCACCAGGTGGACCCAACCAACAACCATTCAGCTAGCACCCACGTGCATTAATTGTTTGTACCATCCAAGAATTATTTTAGTGCTGTTGTTGTTGTTGGCTCCACTTCCCTACCCACTTTGTTAACACCTATAAGCCCCAGCGCTTTCTGATTGATCCACCACTGTTCTCTCTCTAGAATTCTCCAGGTTCTGGCAACTACCCAAATTCAAAAGGCTCCAGCTATCTCCCCTGAGCTTTAGACTCCCATATCCAGATGCACCAAGGACCTTCCATAGAGAGTACTCGATAACCTCACCTAAAATCCAACACGCTGAAAACGAAACACACCAATCTTGGGTGGCTCCCTGGGTGGCTCCACATTACCTATAAAGTCCAATTACCTTTAATCTAGCTTCACACTATTATAGGGTTAATGCATTAACCTCCATAGGAATCTCATAAAGGAATGGGTATTATTCCCATTTTACACTGAGGAATGTATCTTACCTAAGCTGGTAAGTGGTGAAATCTGTACACAAACCTTAAGTCTGTGTTCCTGACCTTTATGTTGTATCATTTCTCATAAATGCCTAACATATACCAGCCAGTGGTCTGGGGATTTGATGGTAAATACAACAAATACAGCCCACATTCCAGTAAGAATGAAGACTAAACAAAAGAATTAAAAACATATTACAGATTATTAAGAAGTGCCAGGAAGAAAAATCAACAGTATTTTACCATAGGAAATAAGAGAAGTGGAGCTACTTAACAGTGATGAAAGGTCTCTCTGAAAAATAACTTTCACAGTGGGATCTAACGGATGAGAAGGAACCAACTATGCCAAGGGGTTGGGTATTTAGAAAACACATAAAGAGGAAAGCCCTGGTGTTCTGCAGAAACTGACAAATACCAATGTGTTAGAACATACACAGCAATGGAGATACCAATACATCAAAGACTCTTAAGCCTATAGTTAGTAGATGAACCTGAAAGAGGATGACCAGAAAAACAGCCCCTGCTTCAGGATTTTAAGCAGGATGGTAAGGAATTTTGAAAATATATAGGTGTGGTTTTTGGTTCTCTGAGTCATTGGCTGTTTTTACTAACGTAACGTGACTAGAGGCCACTATACTCCACCCTGGAATGTACCAAACGGCTCCAAACAACAAAGAATTGAACTCTTCTCAAACAGTTAATAATGGTCTGTTGAGGAACAATGGCTAATGGACACGTTGCATTTACCCAGGGGATTAGAGAACACTTAGATTTGGATTTCTTTTGTAGTTCCTATATGACTAAGGATGTTGTTGTTGTTGTTATGTGCCATCGAGTTGGTTCCGACCCATAGCAACTCTGTATAGGGTTTCCGAGGGTGTAAATCTTTACGGGAGTAGAAAGCCTCATCTTTCTCCCGTGGAGCAGCTGGTAGTTTCGAACCGCTGACCTTAAGGTTCGCAGCCCAATTCGTAACCACTACGCTACCAGAGCTCCTTATATGACCAAGGATAGTTTTGAGTTAATTCTTGTGAATTAATAAATATCTGTTGTGCCCAGTGTGGCATTGTAACGATAAGCACAGGACTGCTAATCTCAAAGTCAGCAGATCAAACCCATCAGCTGCTCCTCAGAAACCCTATACACAATCGCTAGGAGTCAGAACCAACTCGAAGGCACATAATAACAACAGCATATGCAGAGAAAAGTGTTGAATACTCTGAAGCATATCCAAATGAGTCAGACACCAATCCTAAGCCTAAGAGACCTGATAACGGAGCCATCATCAAATCTGAGGTACCATCAATTATCAAACGCACCATTTCATATACCACTAAAAAGAGAAAGATACTACCGTGTTTTTAAAGCATAAAAGTCATCTTTGTATACAATAAGGTGAGGTTTCAAGTCACACATGGGAAAAGAAAGAAGAAAAATCTCTAATTCTCTGGTGTTTAACACTTACATGTGCTATAAACAAACCAACACAAATAGCATTTTAGCTAAATTCTTTCCATATTGACTGAAAAACCTCTGACAGCAAACTCCCGCCAAGAGTGGGGATATGAGGGTTACTGAGAGAGAAAAAGGAAGACAAGAAAGTAAAATGGAAAAAACAAGAGAGAGAAAGAGAGGAGGCAAACGAGACTAAGAACTAGCTAACAGAGTAAAGATGTGAACAAGCATCACATTGCCAAATAACAAATCCACGGAGCAAAAAAGAGTGATGCAGTATTGTTCTGGAAGGTGAGCGTGATAAACCTTCTTCAAAGTTATGTAGGTTATCTACTCATACCATAGTGCAGGAGGAACTTTTTGCAAAAAATTTGGAAGTCAAAGGACCTAACAGGGAACACTTGGGCCAAACAGCGTGCAATTGGAAACCTGTCTAAATACTTACACAAACTAAAATGGCAGCTTCAAAGTAGCATATTAACAGTTTGTCAAAACATGTTCTTGTGCTATTTTGAGCACACCTTTTGCATAAACAAATTCCCTCAAGGGGGGGGGGAGGTGGTCACTGGACTGTGAACCACAAGGTCAACAGTTCAAACCCACCAGCTGCTCCTTGGAAACCCTATACAAGACCACTATGAGTTGGAACCGACTTCACAGCACTAACAACAACAACAACAAAAGTTCCTAAAACTATGTTTTATACAAGACACTGACTAAATTTATACACAGCAAAAAAAGTTCTGAAAGAAAATGTGAAATACCTCAGTTTGACCTTCATGAGCACTGGTCTCGTGAGTAACTCGAATAGCCTGCAAATGAAAACATAAAGTATTTATAGAAAGTCACTGTAACCAACCTTTTAAATGAAAAAACAAAACAAAACACCAAAGCTAAAATTTAACATCTAAAGTTTCTTCAGAAAGAAAAATTCAATGTAATTAAGTGACAGTTTAATAGTTGATATTTAAAATGATATTTGAACAGTCAAATAAATTGCTCTACTTCCCAGCCCACAAACCTCTCCAAGATTTAAGAAACTGAATGCTGGGTCTAAGTAGTGACTTAGTGTATTTAATTGTTCTAACTAACACTTGTCACATTATTCAACCAAACGAGAATGAAGTAGGAATCACACAGAGATTTGAAAAGCTTCTCACATCTTCTCCTCCACAACATGCCTGTCCCTCCACTGCTCCATTACATTTATGCTAAAGCATGCAGCTTCGGTAGGCAGTTTACAAATGTGGAGCAAAAGCATGCATTTTTCAAAAGCTAACAGAATTTGTTCTGAAATTCTCTGATTTTTTCTAATGTTCTTGAAATACCCACTATTATCAAGGGTTCAGAGAAACAGGCATATGTGTAAAAAATGGTTAAGGTACAATCTTCATGGATGGCAATTTGACAGTAAGTATCAAAGCCTTAGAAACATGCACACTGTTTATATATTGACGTATAACTTAAACATAATTATATATAAAGATATTTGCAAAGATTTAGCTCTAATTTAAAATTTAGCAGTGTTATTTTTAAATGGTGAAAAAGAAGAAAGTCTATTAAATTTCTGACAATTTATTTGTTAAGTAAAATACTACACAATGGAAAACTATGCAGCCATTAAATGATGATTCTATATTTACTGGCATGTATTACATTTGTGATAAGTGAGAAAAGACAAGTTATAAAGCAATATTACAGTGTGATCAAAGTTTCGTTTTACAAAGCTGTGTATATACATACACACTCCCTATTGAACATGGTGATGGTCACTACCACTCACTGGTGGGATGACAAGTCATTTCCATGTTGCTTATTTTATTTTCAAGAAAAAGAAAGATGTTTTATAAACTCTTCAAGATTCATAAATAACTTAAAATAGTCATGCATATATTGGAATGCTAACAAATAAAATTAATAACTTACTGAGCACAAACTCTGCACGAGACATTATCCTAACCAAATAATGTGTATAATATACTGTGTCTCATTTTAAAGGATTTGCAATCTACTTAGCAATGTTTTTATCTAAAAGGCAAAAAGTTTCTCAAAAAAAAAACAAAAAAACAATAACAACAACAAAAAAATCAAAAATAATAAAATTTAAAAACAAGTCTAGGAAGTTGTGTAATCTCATTTTAAACCACAGTACGTGGCCTGTGTCTTTTTACACATGCAAAAAAAAATAATACTTAGACTGATAAAATAGCTAGAGTATGTTCTAATGTCTACCTTTAAACCTTTGTTTTTTCCATTCGTCGTCAGCCTTGTTCCAAATTCTGGCCCAGTGAAAGACATATAGGGTATTATACGCCAGGCATATATTTATTATATAAGAGACGGAAAGGTAAGGAATAGTCAATCATAAGATGTTTTATGAATTTGAAAATCAAACTGCTTTTAGTCTCTCATTCACCTCTGGATGTAGAAAAGAAGTAAGCAATTTATTAACATTTACGGGTATTTCAGATAGCATAACCTGAGAAGTACACAAGGTCTTTCGTAATGGGAACAGCAAAATACTTGTTCAAAACGGTAGTTTCAAGATAAACCCCAAGCAGTGTACACAGTCCCACAAAAGTTTGCCCCGTATTAAATCAAGACAGAGAGAAGGTACCGACGTCATAGTTCTCCAGGTATCTGGCTCGTTCCTCAGGGCTCATTGAAATAGACTCCTCCAGGAATTTTTTCAAGGTTGATCCAGATTCTTAAAATAGTAAAAAAGATAAAATTGAAAACTTTACAAAACTTGGTATCTCAGTGAAACTGATACATGAAAATGCTAGAAACATGCTATTTTTCAGGTAAAATTCCTTTCACTGGTAAAATAAGAATGGTTCTCTGCAAAAAACACACTTCTCGTGTGCATTTATGACAGTGTGGTTTTTTTTATTGTGCATGATTTTCATGTGGGCTTTTTCATGTGAATTTTTTCTGGTAGGATTAATAGGCTTAAGAACGTAGTAAGGGCTAATGCGCCAGACTGCAAAGTCGTTTGAACTGCCAGGTCGGTGATTCAAGCTCACCAGCTGCTCCTTGAAAACCCTATACAGGGTCGCTATAGGTCGGAACCAACTCGACGGCATGTCACAACAACAACAAAAGGATAAAAGGATCTAGTGAAATGCATACCAAATACAAATCTGAATACAGACAACATCTAATACTGTAAATGATAAGAAACTAAAGATTTGCAGCAATTATACCTTGTATTTTGAAAATTTTAAAAAGAAAGAAAGTAACACTAGGGCAAAGACAATGTGCAATCAACTTGTAAAAAGAAAAATTAAATCTTGGGATAAATTATAGGAGATAAATTCTTTGCCTGTGAAACTCCTGTTTATCAACAAATTAAAGAATAGAGAGGATAAAAAATTTTTCTAACAGTATATGCATTTTCAGTACAAAAGAAAGGGGAAATTGCTTTGTTTTACAGTTAAACAGAAAGAATTAGAGCACCACCTACTGCTCACTTAAGCTAACATATCTTAAGAGGGAAAAACAGCAGTGATGAAACATCACTTACCAAAGTGCATCTTGTCTTTATTGTTAGCAATAGCATGGATCAGACCAATGGTTCCACAGGCATTGCTGATTGTTTGTTTCATGAAATATACTGATGATGTAACACTCTGTCCCTCAGATTTTATTTTTTCTTCTTCTTCTGTTCTGAATACTTCATACTATTAAAAAAAAAAAAAAAAAGTAGTCTGTTAGTAGAAAATAACATCACAATGTTATTGTTGTTAAGTGCCATCGAGTTAATTTTGACTCACAGCGACCCCGTATACCATTTCCAAGGAGAAGCTGGTGTGTCTGAACCACTGACCTTTTGGTTAGTAGTCCAGCACTTATCCTACAGCGTCATACCAGGACTATAATCATAAATGAGGGGAAATCAAGAAATCTGTGGAAAAATGGAATGAAAAAGATAATGGAATTTTCCCACTAACTTTTAGAATCCCCTTGCATGTACACTTTTAATAACATAAAACTGGGAAAATTCTAAGTATCAGTGGTTTTTTGGTTAACATATTATGGTATATACTATGGTGAGTAGGTGTGGCACTGTTGGATAAGCACTGAACTGACTGTAAGGCCAATTTGAACTGCAAGGTCAGTGATTCAAACTCACCAGCCACTCCTCAGAAACCCTATACAGGGTCGCCATGAGACAAAACTGACTCTACAGCACTTAACAACAACAACATGGCAAATGTGACAAAGCATTTAAAAGGGGTAAAGTAGATTTACATGTTCTGAATTTGAAATCTGTCCATGAATACAGAGTAGGCTATATAGGGTCAATATGTATTAATTAACATTAGTAAATACAATCTCATTTCTATATTTAAAATATTTACTTTATATATAGCATTAAGAAGTCTCAAGCTAATAAACTAGTGGACAAGAGCCATCAATGGTTGGGAACTTAGAGAAAAGAAATGACAGGACATTATGTTCCTCCTGTACAGAGCACCATGTAAGAAGTATTCTTTCTCTTCCCTCACCACAAAAAACACAAGGCTGAGTCAAATCAAACCTCTAAGTCTATTAATGCCCTGGAAACACAATGGAGAAAGAGTGAAATAACAGTGCCAGATGATACAATCACCTTCAAAATAATAAAAAAATTCTGGGAAACTCCAGGATAAGCCATCAGTTTCAATACCAAAAATCCAAGGGGGGGCGGGGGTAGAGAGAGAAGTGAGGATGATCTTATAGATTAAAAGAGATTTAAGAGACATCTATGTATATGTAGAATCGTGGTATGGCACTGTGGGCTAATTGTGCACTGGACTGCAAAGTCGTATGAATTGCAAGGTCGGCGGTTCAAGCTCACCAGCCTCTCCTAGGAAACCCTTGACAGGGTTGCTATGGGTTGGAACCGACTCACCAGCACTTAACACCATATATATATGATTTGGATCCTCATTTGAATAAATAAGCTTTAAAAATACATTAAAAGATCCTAGAAAGGAAAGGGAAGATCCAGAATAAGCCTTCTCCAAAGAAGGACCTGAATAAGGATTAAAGGATACTCCTAACTTACCTGGAGCCTAATTGAGAGGAGCCCTGTGGAGCAGAGGTTTAGCACTCAGCTGCTAACCAGAAGATTGGTGTTTGGAACCCACTAAGCAGCTCCATGGGAGAAAGACCCAGTGCTCTGCTCCCATAAACATTACAGCCAAGAAAACCCTCCTCTGTCTCTTGGGTTGCTATCAGTGAATTGACTTAACAGCACCTAACAACAACTGATTGGGTTAAACCTGGAAGCATTTTTTTCTCCTTTGCCACTGCTTTCGGGGGTTCCAGCCAAAGTCACTGTCCTGTCACATCCCAGCATCTGGGTCAAGAGATGACTTTTTCATTGCACTTAATTTCTTCTTACTGGAAAGAAAACTCATCCCCCATAGTCTTTTCTCTTTCTCACAACCACGTTGTGAGAAAACAACAAAAGGATAACTCAAAAAGTATTGCTGCAAAACCACAGCAGACTTTATTAAAGCAAAATTTTGAGACATGAAGCTATTGTTTCTCCATCTAGAGCTATACATGCCTGAAGGCAGTGTTTCCTTCTTTAATACTTCTAAGAATTTCACCTCATCAAAACAGCAGTTCCGAAAACCCCCTTGACTCTCAAGGCAACACATCCAGACTCTGGTCAGAGACACAGACCCACATCATAAGCTATAGAATTCCTTTCACAGATGCTGCACATCAACTCTGCATCAGGATGTGTGCACAAAAGTCTCAAAGTGTTTTCGCATCTCTCCTCAGTTTCTCTCTGGACATTCAGGAATAGTGGCAATTTTCTTCCTTCTTCTTGTGATTGTCACTGTAAATCTTCTATTGATAATGGTAGTTTTATAAGTCGATTTTTAGGTTTCTTAAAAATTTTCAAACTTCCCTCACAAAACCAATAATAAATTAACTTTCAGAAACTTAAAAAAAAAAAAACATTAAAAGAAAACAAAACAAAATCTTAATAGGAGTTATCTTTGGGGCAATAGATTAACTGAAGACTTTTACTTTCTGTATTTTTACATTTTATAAATCATTTATCATTAGCAAGAGCCATTTTCTCTTCAAAACCTCTATTACTTTTATAGCCTTCACACTGTATTTATAATAAAACTATATTCTTAACAAAAGTTTATTACTATCCATAATAACTGGTTACAAAGCAAAGCAGCATATGAGAAGTCAAAAAGTATTGCTACAGAGGTCCAGTTCATTCATGCACAGATTTATTCCAAAGCATGTTTAAACATGTCTCTGCAACCAATGGGTGGTGGCAGACAAGGTTTTTTAGCAATACATATTAGTATCCTTAGGGTGCCTTCAAAAGAATCCAATCATAAAGTGGCTTTGGATGAGCTCTGCAGACCAGTTAAATTCAAGACAGAAAGGTCAGCTCAAAAGGTTATGTTATCGTTGTTAAGTGCCGTTGATTCTGTTCCACTCATAGCAACTCTGTATAGGGTTTCCAAGGAGTGGGTGGTGGGTTTGAACTGCTGACCTTGTGGTTCAAACAGACCTTGCGGTGGAATGCTTATCCAATAACACCACACACCAATACTCCCAAAAGGTGATAGTGGAAAGCGGGGAGGTTACAGTGTTTGTTTTTAGGATTCCAATGGGGAATGTGCCAATAACAAAGCAGAGGATTATGGGGGCTTATTAGGAGGAAGTTTTAAGGAAATGGAAAACTGCATTGGTGGGAAAGTTGCACTAAGGAAATTGTTTTCCACCACATCAACACACCTGTTCACTCAAGGGTAGCCAGGGCTGTCCTATGAGAATTTTGTTAGGAAACCTCACCCCATCCACCCTATGGCCCTTCAGACTTTCTTTTTGTTCCAAAATCTCAACGGACATTTAAAAGAAAATCTGAGTCCCTCAAGTATGCTAAAACTGCTGTTTTGATGAGGTGAAATTCTTAGAAGTATTAAAGAAGGAAACACTGCCTTCAGACATCTATAGATCTAGATGGAGAAACAACAGCTTCATGTTTTAAAATTTTGGTTTAATAAAGGCTGCTATGGTTTTGCAGCAATTCTTTTTGAGTTACCCTTTTGTTGTTGTTAGGTGCCATCGAGTCAGTACGGACTCAGTGACCCTATGCACAACAGAATGAAACACTGCCCGGTCCTGTGCCAACCTCACAATTGTTGCTACTCCTGAACCCATTGCTTCTGCCACTGTGCCAGTCCATCTTGCTGGGGTCTTCCTCTTTTCTCTGACCCTCCACTTTCCCAAACATGATATCCTTCTCCAGCGACTGGAGAGACATAGTCTGGCCATCTTGGCCTCCCAGGAGCACTCTGGCTACACTTCTCCCAACACAGATCTATTGGTTCTTTTGGCAGCCCATGGTACTTTCAATATTCTCCTCCAACACCATAACTCAATTCTTCCTTATTCGTGGTCTAACTTTCACATGCATATGAGGTTACTGAAAATACATGGCTTGGGCCAGGTGCATCTTAATCCTCAAAGTGACCTCTTTGCTCTTCAACACTTTAAAGAGGTCTTGTGCAACAGATTTGCCTAATTCATGACATCATTTGATTTCATGACTGCTGTTTCCATAAGTGTTGACGGTTGATCTAAGTAAAATGAAGTCTTTGGCAACGTCAATCTTTTCTCCATTTATCATGACGTTATTTATTGGTCCAGTGGTGAGGGTATTTGTTTTCTTTACATTGAGGGGTAACCCATATTGAAGACTGTGGTCTTTGATCTTCATCAGTAAGTTCTGTAAGCCCTTTTCGCTTTCAGCAAGCAAGGTTTTATCATCTGTATAGCGCAGGTTGTTAATGAGTCTTCCTCCAATCCTGATGCCACATTTTTCTTCATAAATCCAGTTTCTCAGATTATTTGCTCAACATACAGGTTCAATAAGTATGGTGAAAGAACACAAGCCTGGTGCACACCTTTCCTAATTTTAAACCCTACTTATCCTAGTATGCTAAAGTGTGGGCTCTCAGTTGACCCATATCTGAGCTTCACCATAACAATTGTGTTACTGCAAGTTACTTAATTCTCCATGACTCGGTTTCCTAGATTGTAAAAAAAAAAAAAAGGGGGGGGGGATTAAAGCAAAAAAAACAAAAAGCCCACTGCCACTGAGTCAATTCGGATTCACAGCAACACCACAGAACAGAGCAGAAATGCCCCGTGGGGTTCCAAAGCTGTGATCTTATGGAAGCAGAGGGCTTCATCTTTCTTGGTGGAGCAGCTGGGAAGTGCTCAACTACTGCGCTCTTAGGGCTCCTTCCAAAAATAACACAGTGGTTAAAAATGAGTGAAAACAGGAGGAAGAGGAGGGCAAGCAGGAGAGTAGAAAGATGAGACTTAATCGCTTTCCTAAATGTTTCAGATTCAATTACAGCAACTACATGCAGCCAAGAGACAAACTCACCCAGCTGCTTTTTTCAGTTTAATGTATACACTGTCCACAGCCAGGCTATCTATTTCTATAAAATAAGCCTCTGAAACCCTAAGGAACACAATTCTACTCTGGCACACATGGCTCACCATGAGAGGGAGCAGACCTGATAACTGTCTGGTATGGGGTTTAGTGGCTGTTTTCACGTTCCCAGTCAAGGCTGATGAATGCCACAAAGACTGTAAATACTTACCATCTGGACCTTTACGGAAAGTTTGGAGATCCCTG